TTTTCTCTCGCGATCTACATACCTACGTACGTATATTATACATATCTGCGTCACCATGTTTCAGGATGTTTTGGATCGACAGAATATTCAACGCCTGTGCGATTGTCCTGTCGATATGGATCTTTTGGAAAGCGGGAATCCTTTCGTACCTTCTCCAATCGAACGGTTTCCTCGCCGATCAATCCTTTCCACCCGAGCGGGTTAATGGTTGCTGAGCAACTAGCCCGATGACATAGTACCTACCAAGTCCGTACGAGGAAATTTGCAAGGAAGTAAGAAAATGGTCCAAGTAGCAAACGAAACTTTTGCGTAATTGTACCAAATGAAATCGACCTGAAAAATATCTATACTACAGTTCTATTTTTTTTTCTTTTCCTCCACTCCTCGCCAACTGCGACGACTGCTGTCCCGCATATGTATCTCCCGGAACAGTTGGTAAAACGCCACTTGTTACATCCACAATGACCACCCACCTATCGACACCGTTCGGCTGCTGCTGCCCCTTCCCCTCTACTGCGGCCGTTTCCCACCATCGCTCTCTGTCCCCATTCCTGTTTTCCTTCGCGCTCGCTCGTACCAAGATAATACAATACGTGTGCGGACGGGAGGAAACTGTAAAACGCGAGAATAGAACGAGCCGAAGAAAGGAAATCTGTCGGTGAAGTTTGGACGAGTGGTTTTCGGTAAAGTGGGAGAAAGTTTCGAGAAAAGTGTGTTCTGGTGTTGCCGTACTTCTCGGTTTCGTGTCGACGCGTCGCGATTCGAGTTGACGCGACCATGGCCAGCTCGATTATTCTGGCATGAAGCAACCTGTATACACATCCATATGCAAATGCAAGTTGAAACTACGTCATCGGTAGTTGCGCATGCGTGTCCGCTATCGCGAGCCAGACAGAAGCGTGATCAGTCGGCGAGTCGGTCAACTGGTTTACCGCGTCTCGATCTCTCGCGCGATCAATTTGCTACGCCGATTTCTCGAGAAGAGACTGCGCGCTCGAGGAGCCGAACAAGCCACTAGCTCTGCCGTCCATCCACAACCGATTGGCATCGTCGTCTGGATATAGTATCGCATAGGTGGGTAAGGGTTTCCTCGCTTCTAGTAAATACGCGATCGATCCTCGAAACGCGGTGAAATATCACGTTGTTCCGAGAATGCTCGAACGCGCCCCACCCTCTCTGCCGCGCGCGCGCGCGCGCGCCCATGGATTTCAACTGCATACATACTTACTTAGTGGTGCATCATGTTCGACCGCCCACGGTCACCGTCGATCGCATTCTTCTTCACGTTCGAAACCTCGATCCACGATCAACAGCTGTTTTCGCTTTCGTTTTTTCCACGGCCAACCCGTTCATTCTTCACCCAAGCGTTAGACCGGTTACGGAAAAATACATCGATTGTGCGTAAATACGCGAACGCGCACGCGCACGCGCACGCGTATTCCGCGCTACTCCCTGTTCCGCAAAAATGCCAAAGGATCTTCTCCCAGTATTTTTCACTCGACCTTGTTGGAATTGGAAAACGATGAAAAAAAAGAAAGAAAGAAAAGGAAAAAACGAACGAACGAACGTCCCACCTCCCTTCTCGGTCATTATCTATTTACTTAGTATCGTATTCGCCTCGCGAACAATTCCACGTAATCATTGCTAGTTACATTGTTCACCGGTTGCGACATTTACCACATTTCCATAATCGATGGAAATCACTTACAATTAGTTACCGGTGATATCTGGTAAAGTCATTTCGAACTTTTCACCTCTTGCCCTTTAAGCGCATCTATCACGATTACGTTGAATTTCTTTCCAGATAGACGGCACACCGTGGTTTATCGTTCCGATTGAAATAGCTGCGGACGAAATTCATCGGACATGACGAACATTAGCGCAGTGTCCGCTCCTCGGAATCCGACTACCATGTCGCAGGCCAATTTTTCTCGCTTGGGAAACGACATCGAAGATGTAACTGAGAAAATCGGATGTCTTCAGCTTGCGCGCGATTGCCAACCGAGCAGTCGAACGTTGCTCAACGATACGAGGGATCGTAACCATGACCTGGACAATAATAACACCTACGGGCACAACGACGACGACGAGGACGAGGACGAGGACGAGGATGAGGACGAGGACGAGGACGAGGACGAGGATGAGGATGAGGACGAGGACGACGACGACGACGACGACGACGACGACGACGACGACGACGACGACGACGACGACGACGACGACGACGACGACGACGACGACGACGACGACGACGACGACGACGACGACGGACAACAGCGACGAGGATAGTCTCGTTGAACGAGGTCCGTTAAAATCGCAATATTTCCCGACGATTCGAAACCAACCTTATTGGACAAGCGTCGGACAGCATCCTCGGTATGTGCATACAGACGAGAATTTCCCGATCGATTACGACACAACTGTGAAAGAGATTCTGCGGGACAAAGAGTACAGTGAGAAATTGAATCCGTGTCTGGACCAACTGCAACACTTGCAGAGAACGAATTGGAACTACTGCAACAAGAACGACAAGAATCCTGCAGATATAACAGAGGTACGCCTTTCCTTCTTCCCCCGAAGAAATCCAACGATAAAAAGATTTCGCGATTCTTTCAGTTTCCATTTACACCGGCGATCGGTGGAAACGATTCGAACGACGAACTATTGGAGAACGTGATGCGCGGTGCTTTTCAATTAGCTCAACACACCATGGAGAGCAGCTTTTTTCCGTCGATGATCACCACGGAGGTTTGTTTCCACGACCAACTTTCCGTTGCTGACTCGAATAAAATTCCTTGCGAAAGTCGCATTCACCCCTCTGCTTCGACTATTCCCACAGAACTCGGCCACAGTCCAGTCGGTTCTCCTCCGGTAATCAACGATCCGTCAACTTTATCCGTCCACTTTTTCGCACAACTAATTCGATCCGATGTATTTCTAGGTGAGCACCGCTGCTACAACCTACAGACCGGTCCAAAATCTCTCGTACTCTTCCAACTCCTCTTTCTCCTCCTCTTCCTCCTCTTCCAATCAATCGTACACCGACCCGCCAAGTCCGAATAGTTGGCAGACACCGATCAGTTCGCGATTCGACGACTCTGTCGCGTGTAACGAGATCGATAATAATGATTCGTGGTCGAAGGTGATCGAAGAAGTTGTCAAGGTGGGAGATACGCAGAAGAATGCTGCGAATCCGCTCGCCACAACCACCTTTCATCGTCTGGACGAACTGGAACGGTCCGTTGATTCGACGAAGGAATGCTCCAACATCTGTCTGAACAGCGAGGATGTCGCGTTTGCGATCGCGGACGCTTTGCCTTGGACGAACTTGCCGTATTCGGTGGAAAACGATGGTTCCGAGAAAGAGATCCGGCATGTCGAAATGGGGCCGAATCTGAATGGAGCCGATTACGTTGTACACGTTGAATCTTTGCTTCCCACTTATCCAAAGGGCAACGACGTAGAGGAAGTTGGCGACGGCGACGGCGATATCTCTTCGTGGGTTAGTTCCTTCGACATAAACGTTTCGCCTTCCGAGGACGTTGGTCGTACGGCTAACGCCAGCCTAACTTTCGATCACGATTTTAAAACGAAAAGGCCGTTGGCCGATACGAAAGACGACTTTGAAATACCAAAAATGGTTGCTTCGTTCGAGTCTTGTCCAACTCGACGACGACGTTGGTAAGTCGAAGATCCCGCCCGAGTTTTCCCAGTTCCGTCTAACGTAACTTTTCCTTCGCAGCAATTCCGATCGGAGAGCAAAGCCCTGGCCGTCGTTGAATCTCCCGTTCGTAATGGCGAGCGAGAGGTTGAAGGAAAGATTGAGTTCGGAAGAGGTGGAAAAGGCTATGATAAGTTTGCTGAAACGATCGGAGAGGGAACTGGCGAAGCAGGACAAGGACGGGGACACGTAAGGAAACACGTCTAACTTGTATTGGTGAATTGGTGAAAGTTGCTCGTTTAAACGTTCGCTCCATTTCACTTCTCCCGATAGAATGCTGATGTGTTTGGTCAGCAACTTGGACGAGCTTAACCAGAAGATGGCCTACTTGGTGCCGCTGGTCGAACGTTTGAGCACGATTACCGGAGCTCTGAACGTTACGAACGATCGCGGCGAGGACGCCCTTTACCTCGCCGCTCTCAATTGTCCACGATTTCCTTACGTCGCGGGATATCTAGCCGCGACGATGTTACAGAAAGAAATCGACATCAGCCAACGGTTGTACCATACTCGGGTAGAGAAATTTTCCTCCTAGAGAATCGAATTCGATTCGATTCGATTCGATTTGCTCGTTCGTGCGCAGTTGGTTAAAACTTGGATCACTTTCGCAGGGTGAAACGCTGATACACGCGATCGCCGCACAGGGAGACTCTCACGCGGAGACCCTGGCTGAATTGTTGGCCTTACGAACGAATCAAGGACACGCGGTGTTTGATCTGTCGAAACGTAATTACGACGGTTAGTTTGAACGTGCGTAATTTGCCCGCTTCGAACGATTCATTTTCATTCCCCCTCCTTCGTTTCATAGGAAGAACGGCTCTTCACGTCGGGGTAGAATCGCACCAGCCGTTAACCAGTGGAATCACGTCGGTGGACACCGTGAAATGGCTGTTAAAGTACGGCGCGGATCCTAGATGCAAGGAAACGAAATGCGGCGGTACCGCGTTACACGTAGCAGTCTCGTGCAGTTGCGATCCGGCCCTCGTGAAGGTACAGCTCTCCTACTTTAATCGATCCTTATCTCGAATCACTCAACGGTCGAGTTTAACACCACCACCCCCGTTTAACAGATACTACTGGTCGATCGTGGTTCCAATTTGGTGAACACCACCAACTACAATCACGATACAGCGCTACACGTGGCAGCGGCAATGTCGGACAGCGTTTCTTTGGGAAAACAAAGGGAAGTGTGCGCGCTGTTGATTCAGGCCGGAGCTCGCGCCAATTTGCTCAACTGTCAAGGAAAATCACCGTTGGCCCTTGTCTCGCCGAAACGGAAGGAGGCAATCAGGAAGATTTTTTACAAAATATCCTGATTCGGTCAGTGTCGAAACTTGTTCCACTCATTTTCCCACCATTCGGACAAAGTGTTTTGTCATTTTTTAATAAGGGATTCAAACTACAGGCGAAATATGTAAGAAATGTTGCCACTTCTTTTTCTAATCTGTACAATAAACATCGACCGTCGCGATTTCTTCGAGCAATCTCTTTGAAATACACATACGTGGTACGTACATAGTGTGTAGACTAACAACGAGTGGAGTTGGGCAGTTCCGGCGGATTCGCGGTGTGCTTTTCCGGTAGAGAATTGACCAACCGTATACATACAGCCACAAACAAGATACGAATGTCACGTTGCGCGTTCCCCTCGTGGTGGTAAGTTTAGTGGATGGAACGCGTTGCGATGGATGTCACTCAATATAAAAGCGGCATGAAACAAGTGTCCATCTTAATCCGGACGATCGACCGATTTTCTCGTCAGATCCGCGTGCACGGTGTGTTCATTCTGCTTCGTAGTATACTGGTTTCGTGGTGGAAGAAGACACGTCGTGGAATTTAGTGAGAATAAAAAATAGAAAAGTGACAGGACAGAGAGGAGAGGATAAAAGGAAATGAAAACGATACTGATAGCGATAAGTTGTGCGTTGCTACTGGTAACGGGTGCGAGCAATATCAGCGAAGAATGTAAAATTCATGAAATGACGACAATCAGCTGTCGTTGCACCGGAAACGAGGTAAATCTCGCCTCGCCTCGCCACGCCACGCCGTATCCGCGATTCGATCGAAGAAGCAAATCTTTTTTTTACAGGAATTCTTTCTACCAGAAGGATACAACTACGAAAACGTGACGAGTCTGCGAATCGCATCTTGCACCTTTGCGAACCTCCACTTTTCCAGCTTGACGGAAGCGAATCGAATTACGGAAATAATCGTACAAAATATCAGCGAGCGTTTGATCTTCGAGCTATTTTTAACCTCGAAGAAAATGAAACGAGTGAAATTATCGAAAATTGGGCGCATACCGTTGATCACCCATGACACGTTCGTCAATTTGAACAGCATCGAAACGTTTCGAATCGAAGACACGCGAATCGATCACTTTCAAGAACGATTCACCGACCTCGCGATAACCGACTTGACGATGATCAACGTTACCATCGAACGTATCGACCAGCTGAACTTGTCCGAAAAGGGTGAAACTCTGCGCATCGAAAATAGCCAATTTCAAAATGTTACCGGTTCTCTGAATTTTGCTTACTTTTCCAACATGGAGATTCTTCGTTCCACGTTTCAGTTGCAGAAGCCAGGTTACGTGGTGATCGAGGGTGATCTTGTTTTCATCGAAAATTCCGTATTTTCGAACGCCAGTGTAAACGTGGTTGCCGCTAACGGCATTACGATAAACGGTACTTGCGCGGATGGGTCGAGTTCTATGAGACTTTCGTCCAACAACATTAACAGCGCGAACAATCGATTACCCACTGAAATCATTTACACGAAGAACAAGTACGGTACGGAACGATTTTTTAATCGGAATAACACAGTATGTATCGCTGGAAATTGCAAATGTCCGAAAAGTGGTGCTGAAAATTTCCAGTTTACAAACTACTTCCCCACATTTCCTTTCCAATTGCTCTTACCAACTGTCATCCTGCTATCAATTTACTCTTAGATTCACACCAGATAGATTGTCTTTTAAATAAACCTAAATGCCCCATTACCCTCCGATAAAATCCCTGTCTTAATTCTTCGACATCTTCTTTATGCTTGACATTTGTGTTAATTGTTCTTCTTCTATCCTAATCCTTCTTTAACCGGATTCTCTGAAAAGATATAATGTAAATAGTAAAGAAGTAAAGAGATGTAAAATTGTAATTAGTTCCACTTACCTACCCTTTATAAGGATTCCGTTTACAGTGTTAATCGTGAACATTTGATTCAACCTGACTGAAAATTTGGTTGGGGCAAAGAACTGCTGTAAGATCGACGTACTAGGTTAAATTGAAGATTGCAACTGTTTTTTTCTCAGTTTCGATAAGACTAACCTAACCATTGGAACAGGGAACGAATTTTGAATGGAATCATTTACAATTTATAAACGTACATCAAGTTTAATTCACGATATGTTTTTATTCATAGCTGCGTAATACGTATTAATTTTTAACGACGATCAAGGTAATAATTCCTTCCTACGAACGAAAGAATAGGTTAGACTCGTACGACCAATTTCTCGTCGATACAAACTAAATAGTCGCGTTGAACGAAAAACTCGAGACTGTTGTACATTCGAAATATGCGTAAAACTATTCTTTTTCTTATATGTACATTGTTTGGTGAAACACCATCGCGAAATAAAATATTAAGTATGTCAGGGCGTAACTATAAAAGCCGAAGAATTCGGAGCGTAACGTATTTCCATTGATATTCCGTGTATCTGCTCGATCGGTACAGAAGAAAAGATAGTGGAGACGAAAGTTCCGACTGGCGTATCTCTCGACTAATTTAGCGGAACGTCAGATGGCGGTAGGAGTATCGCGACGAGTACGCGACATACGGTGCCCCATCTAACACGTAACCCGCGGAATTGCATCCTCGTAACGCGGGTGAACAAAGTTTTCGAGACACTGTAAGATTTGGAGGTAAAACGTTCGAGAGAAAAGGGGGAAAAGGACCGGTAATTTCGTGGACGCTCGACGATTTTAAGAGGCCTTTACAAATTCTGGAAGAGTATCGCCAGACTAGTCGGTTCGAGTTTTGTCGAAGATGCGTAATAAGTTGTAAAAGCTGGAAATCTGGTTAGGTTCGAAAGAGATGGTTGTTGGATCGGAAAGAGTCGCGCTCGGCTCAAAGTGCCGAGAATTTTGACGGGTCAGTAACTCCAAAAATATTTATGTCGTCCTCAACTATTCTTACTCCCGCGACATGGATATTTTCGGCTAATGTTGGGTAACCCCAGTACGTGTTTTCTCGCTTTTCCCCTAATTACAACGATTCGCTGTCAGGTGAAAGAACCACGTCGAACCACGAGAAGATCTAGTTTCGATCGTTTTCTCGATTACCATGCCCGTGGCATCAACGAAACGAAACGAATCAGGAAGGTATAATAGATCGTAAATAAAGATATTGCGTATAAAATCTGGCTGAACGAAGATGGACGGAGGAAACGAGGGGAACGCGGAACGGAACACGATAGGCGGGAACGTGAACATGGGAACAGAAGCGAACGATAAAAGAAGGGAAAGATTTCCCATGTAAGTAATAACAAGAGGGTTCGGCGAAGGAAAAGAAGAAGAAGAAGAAGACGAAGAAGAAGAAGAAGAAGAAGAAGAAGAAGAGTAGGAGGAGGAGCACAGATGCAGCAGCTTAAGATGCATCTCTCGAGGGAGACGTTTGACAGGATGTTTTGAATACGTGCCGATATCGCAGGAAAGCTTTACTAGCTTTCTAATTGACCGGCTTAAAAGATGTGGCCAGTTTCCGGAGTTGGTGTTCTTTGGTCGTGCCGGCAGTGGGGTTTCTCGGTCGGAACACACGTTCATAAATCGAGCGGGACTCCAGCTGTCACCGGTGAACGAAGGAAGAAGCGTCGCGCGATCGTTGTTCGGAAGACGAGGACGTAAGTAGAGCGTTCGCAACATCTGCCTTTCCTTCACTAAATACCTCTCGGCGACGCTCGCGTGGGAACGTTTTTCGACGAAAGCGAACAGAAGTTAAGCAACAAGGCGGCACATCCGTTGCGAGCTTTCAAAGATTTCGCTCATCTTTATTATCGCGTATGTCTATAAATCTGTATATGTGTGTGTATATGTAGGTATATATGAGCACGCATACCACGCGTCGTTGTTGCGGCGAGATGGCGTGTTTTTCACGAACGACGACGCATCGATATGGAAGCGAACGACTGGAATCATTCCGCGAGAATAGAGAAAGAGAGAAAGAGAGAGATGCGTTTTTAGGAACTTGCTGTCCACTCGGTGATGCGTTCAACGGTGGGTCCATAGGAACAGTCGAGGTTAGGTTGTTCGATCGTTGGAATAGCTGCGTCCGTCATTGATGCGAAGGATATCGAAGAGTATCGGTGGTGGTGGCGCGAGTGGGGCCGTTGATACTTTGAACGATCATGTTCAGCCGATCCAAGCTGCTTCCACTGATGGAAGGAGACTGCGATTCCACCGCTGCCTCGAATCCTACGAAGAGAAAACCAACTGATGGATTACCACGAGCGAGAAATCGATCGGAATCGACTTTGCGCTCAAGTATGTATAAAAGAAGCGGTTGGTTCGTGGAAAACGCGTCGAGACGACGACGACGACGACGACGACGACGACGACGACGACGACGTCTTAATCGCATCGTTCGGTCTTCAAAGAGCTCCGATTCCTTCTCACCGGGTGTTTCGTGGACGAGCGGCACAAGGGACTATTCATTCGGTCTCATTAGCGAGAAACGCAACGACGACGTCGAAAGCCGCTCTTTGTTTCCGATCGCGCAATGCTTTAGATCGCATCGCGCGCGATTCCAAGTACATAGTGAGAAGAGGGCGAAAGTGAGAGGAGAAACGGTTCGTCGAGAGAAAAAATGAACGGCGGAAGATGGAGGAAGGGAAATTTTCGAGAGGCATTAGCGAATTCTGGATGCGGCAAAGTATGTATTTTCGACTGAGCTTCCGTCGCGTTTAAACGACCGTTCCCCGTTGGGCAAAAGGATGGTCCGACGACGATGCGTCATACTAATGTACCGTGGCAATATATGGCACTTTCGAGTGACTAGAATTTTCTCATCCTTGGACGATCCACCTTTCGGTCGCGGAGTGGAACTCGGGGAAATTTAGTTCACCTGTTTGGTTATCGAGCGTTTGGGAGGTGAAGGGAATCGATGGATACGATTAGAAGTTTGTTTCATGTACTATTCCTACACAGAGTAGGTATTCCTTTTCTGTGGCGAATGCGACGCTAGGCGACGCTGCGATGGTGAATTATGAGAGTAAAGGGCGGAAGAAGGTGAGAAATGATGGCGGTTCGATGCGGGACACAGATCGTTGAGATTTCGCGCAAACAGTACCGCGGCGAGTCACGGCGAGTCGCGGCGCGTTGAATTATGTTTCACGGTTGCCAATAGTCTGGTATTCATTAACGCTAATTAATCCCGAGTTATTTTAACGATCGAAATACCGCGCGATCGTACGCAAGCGAGCGCTCGTTTTGGCGCGTGGAGGGTTTCGCGCGACTTTGGCCAGAAGCTGGCATTGTCAGGAGAAGAGGAACACATATCTCGGTTGGGTGATGGTGGCGCCTCGCGACAAACCTTCGATTCGATTTGTTCGCGCGGAAATTTTGCGTCGCTCGTCTATTTTCAGAATGTGGGCCAATTAATTGGACCGGTAAGTCGGGAAAAGGGGGAAAATTGTCGGGGAATAGGGATAAGAAGAGAGGAGCGAAAAATGCCAAGTCCGGCTCGGCGGGGGGGGGGGGGGGGGGGGCGTGGCGCGTGGCCGGTAGGGTGTCGCGCGAGTGTATCGGGAGGACGTTGCATCGTCACGGGAAGCTCATGGGTGGGCTATCTATAGCAGCGAGCGTGTAACCGAATAGAAACCGAGTGTCACTCAAGGGTGACAAAACTCATTAATACCGATCTGCTTAATGCCCCGTCTCGTGTCAGGCATTAATCTACTTAAAAATACCAGTAGATCGCGAGCGAACTGAGACACCGAGAGGAGAGCCGCTCGATCTCCACGGTCCTTAATAGACGCTTCCTGTCTTTCAGCGCGTTTCACCGCGTCTCGACGCGACCGAAAATGACCGTTTCGTGGATAGAATCTCACTCACCGTTGATGGGTTGAAACCTTGCCAAAGGGTCCGAGAACTGCCTCAGTCTCTCCGTCACGTATCGCGGAGAAGCTGCGCCCTGGAAAAAGAAAGAAAAAAACGGATGCATTCGCGATAATCGAGGGCGGGAGGGGGCCGGCGTTGTTGCGCGAGATCCTCCCGGCCATCGGCCGGTTCGATCGCAGGCGAAATGTAGGTCAATCGGAAGGTTGGTTCGGTTAGGTTAAGGGATTTGTAGTAGCGCATGGTCGCCAGCGAGGAATTCGCGGAACAGATAGGAGGACGAATAGGTGTAACGAGGCATTTTCTCTCCGACGGCCAAACGAGGATTGCTTTTAGTCCGGGAGAAAAGAGAGCGAACGAGTAGCTTCTCTCATTCATTCCGCCACTCTACCGACTAAACACTAAACACCCCGTACACATTTTATTCGTCTCGGGTTCCTTTATTTGTTTCGGCGCATCTATATGCGGCGTCGCGGCCAACTATTCTCGGAGTAAAAGCAGTTCCTCGCCGCGCTGTCCACCGCCTGGTATCGTGCGTGCATGCGTGCGTGCGTGCATTTATCCGCGCGTATTCGCAACTTGTTACGAGAAACTAGCACCGCCGCGGTCGAAGAAGACACGTTTCTCCGGGAGAAAGAATGCACTGTCGCGCGCGTGCACGTATCAAAGTTGGTGTAGGAAGGAGAAGTCGTTCAATCGAAAGAAGAAAAGGAAGCGGAGAGTGTGGATCGTGCGTGCGATTGCACGAAACAGAGTTCGATCGGAGTTTCGAGCGAAGCAGCGGAGGTAGGAGCGAACGGAGAAGTTGGCTACGGCTTTTTCGGAGATCAGAGTGTCGTGTCGAGGCAGGGAGACGACGAACGAGGCGACGGAGTGCGGCGCGACGCGGCGGGATGGGAGGCAAGAGGCTAGAGGCGAGAGGCGTGTGGCGAGAGGCGAGAGGCGAGTGGCGAGAGGCGAGGCGAGGTGAAATCGAGGAGCTTTTATCGTAAAGTAGGATACGTTAACCGGCCCGTGCTCGCGACTGAAACGGCTGCTTTAAATAAGCGCGATGTTTGCTCTGGAAGATAGCTTCGCGTCCTCGATGCCGGAGGTCGATACTTCTTTCAGAGTAGAATCTCTCGAGCATATGTATAAAACTATCTCTTTGTCATTGGTCGATACGTTCGGTCCTCGCCGCCTAATTTCCACGGAACGTCCCGTCCAATTTACCCACCAGTATTTTCTATATTCTCTCGACGAGGAAAGAAAGAGCTGGAACGTACCGAATGGAAAGGTTGCGCGCGTTGTACGGAAAGGAAGAAAAGCGCGCGGTAACGTGGCACAAATCGATGCGCGGCATCGTGCTTATATTTAGCGAGGATACGAGAGCCGACTGCTTTGCACGAAACACCGGGGAAATATATTTCATTGTATAATCCCCTCGAGAAGAATCCCGAAGTAGCTGACTCGCCGGCTTTCTCGAACGGGAACCGTGTGTTGTATACCTACTTACTTGTACGAACTTGTACCGTATACTCGCGCAGCTCACCCTGCGATCCTCTGCACGCGGTGCCTCTCTGTCGCGCCACTCCTTACCGATTCGTGACTATACAAACACGACGGAAAGGCAACTCTGGTGTTGGAGCGACGGGACGGTTTGCTGCTCTAAACGCGTGGGGCATGGACACGTGTCGAACACGTGTCTAGCGTTAACAAACGATTCGATCGTAGATGAAATCGCGAACGAAATAGTTTGGACGATTTCGAACTTACCGCGTTCTCGCTGGAACCGTGATGTTCCTGAGTTGCCGAGGATCTGTTGCTTCGCAGCAACGTTTCCAGACCTTCGATGTACTCGATCGCGTTCCGTAGAATCTCCACTTTCGGCAACCGTTGGTTCGGATTGTTGCTCGTTCTCCGTTTCAACACCTCGAACGCCTCGTTCACCTGTAAAGGAGCAGAGATCCCGCTCGACGATGAACCGAAAGGGTTTGGACTTTCCCACACTGACCTTTCTCAAGCGTCTTCTCTCGCGTAAAGTGGCAGCTTTCCTGCGATCGACGGTGACGGTTTTCTTTTTGCAGGCCTTGCAAGCCCAGAGGAGGCACCTGCGGGGACCATGAGCGACGGCGGCGG